AGAGATCTGATGACCCAAGAAGGAGCAGCAGTAGCGTGCGCGAAGCGGAGAGACGCTCGCTGTTTCATTCGATTTATGATAGAGCAGATTTCAGTGCCAGCATTGAACACTTGCGTCAAGATGCAAAGAGAAGGCGATGAACGAGCGAAAGCCTCGCTCTTGCTATCACTTTTGGACATCCATCAGAGCAAGCCGATGCGAGTAAACATGAAGGAGCCTGTAGAGCTGGAACCTATGAAAAAGATTAACGAAATATGGAGATTCTCTAACAAGGAGATGAGGCTCTCAAAAGAATCTATGGAAGCCCTGTCGAGATCCAGTGAATACTGTGGACCGATCAGAAAGAAATCATACAGTTGTGTATCCGGAATCATAGGGATGGCGTACAACCCTTTCCTAAATGAAGATATACGCAATTGCTTCTTTGATTATGAGCAAGCAGTGTTGCTAAGATTCTGGACGTCAAGAATTGCAACAATAACAAGCGCTGCTAATCAGTAGACCAAGCTGGGACTAGTCTTGGAGGAAAAGGTGACTGCACCTTCAGTGCCAAAATCTGACAACCGAGTGGAGTTTGGATTTAGATTCTCGGACGAATTGCTGAGAACGAGTTTGATGGTAGTGTGGGAACTAATGAAGTAATCATGGTGTCCGAGTCGATATTGCGTGCGACACAAGACGTGCATAGGGAACTGAACTCAGACTGTAACTTGCGTGACCTGAAAATCATCTATAATTTGATGACGACAGCCTCTAAAAGCAACGGAGAAGACAAAGTAGAGTTGCCTGGCTGGGGGTCAGAGCACTGGGTCAAACCTGGTAGCTGTCTGGCAGAAGTCTGTGGACTGGAGAGTCACACCTATGGAGGTCTGGATTGCATAAAGACCCTGGAGAAACAACACAAGCAATTGACGATATTGTTTGGGAACATTGTGATGAAGGCGAAAACGGAAACGGAATTGATTGCAGATTGCCATGGAGGAACCGAGGTGAATCTAGTGACTGCACTAGGATTCTACTGCATGTTTGGTTCTTTAGAGTCACTATTGAATCTAAAACAAAAGCATGAGATGGTTAGGACCATCAGTGTAGAAGTGTTTCCGGGAGTGTTGCAAACCGAGCCGATGTATATTGGAAAGTGGAGAGAAGCGATCGAGGCGGAAATGATTATCCGGCATAGTGATTCTACAGCACTAGGATTCTACAGCATGTTTGGTTCTCTAGAGTCACTATTGAATCTATAACAAAAGCATGAGATGGTTACGACCATCAGTGTAGAAGTGTTTCCGGGAGTGTTGCAAACCGAGCCGATGTATATTGGAAAGTGGAGAGAAGCGATCGAGGCGGAAATGATTATCCGGCATAGTGATTCTACAGCACTAGGATTCTACAGCATGTTTGGTTCTTTAGAGTCACTATTGAATCTATAACAAAAGCATGAGATGGTTACGACCATCAGTGTAGAAGTGTTTCCGGGAGTGTTGCAAACCGAGCCGATGTATATTGGAAAGTGGAGAGAAGCGATCGAGGCGGAAATGATTATCCGGCATAGTGATTCTACAGCACTAGGATTCTACAGCATGTTTGGTTCTTTAGAGTCACTATTGAATCTATAACAAAAGCATGAGATGGTTACGACCATCAGTGTAGAAGTGTTTCCTGGAGTGTTGCAAACCAAGCAGAAGTATATTGGAAAGTGGAGAGATGCGATCGAGGCGAAAAATGAACATCCGGCATAGTGAAAGAGTTCCCCTGATGAGTTCCCCTGTTATTGCTGGTGGTGGTACCCCGGGCGTAGTAATCTGGTGTTGATCTGGGACTGTGGAGAGCTACTCTCCATGGGTTTACCAGATTCATCACAGCTCATAACGATAGTGACAGTAGGAGTTATGATGGCGATACGATGGCTGGAAGCTCATGTAAAAGAGAACAATATACAGGAGGTGCCGACGAAAGAACAGTTACAGGAATTGGATTGTCTAGAAGATATATATCTTTTTGAAAAAATGTGCAGAATCTTGAACATTGCGATGGAGGTGAAAAAGATATGGGCCAGAAGACGACTGATGCCGTGGTTCAGAGCCAACATGACTGCATGGTTATACGAATATGCCAAGAAGCATATGTCGAAGCACAGCAGAGTGTACAGGGCGTATCAGCTGGACATTGGAGCAGGAGCTTTTAAGCGAGCTTTTGTAACTCATCGGAATACAGTAACCACCGCAGTGAAGAGAAATTCTTGGACAAGTGATGTGACGGAAGGGAAAAAGGAGAGATGTTGAAGGAACACTTGGAGAAAACAGATAATCTAGAGTTGATCCTCTACCTTGTTGTAAACAAAGAGTAGAAGAGCAGAAGTGTTGGAGGACTGCTTCCAACAGCGTCAGAATAGCTACCGACGTGTTGCAAGACACAGAGACTGAAAGTGCGGAGTCAATGTCGCAGGAGGAGGAGATGGAACATTGACAAATGGCCGAAAAACAAGATGCAAAAGAAAGAAAATTAGAACAATTTACAAGTTTAAGAACTTCTAAACGACGAACAAAAAAGGAAACAAAAAAGCGACGAAAGACAAGATGTTAAAACTCAGAATTGTTTTGTATGTGACAAAAAACTCAAATAAGAAATAAAGCAACTAAGTTTGCAATTGAAACTGAAAAAAAAAACATTTTGTTGAGTTTTGAAGATTAAAGAATTTGTTGCATTTATAATTTTGCATTATGATTTTAGTTAGTGGCTTTACAGACGCTTAATATTTTTTTAGAAAGACTTGAGTGAAGAGTATATTAAAATATTCCAGCCTGCATGATTGTTTTTAATCAACTAGGACAACTGATCACTTTGTGGTGACCTGAAACGCTTGGGTAATCTCTTGAAGAAGGAGATTTTTTCATTGTTCCTTCTAACCACTGAGTTCCTTAATTTTATTATTCAGGGCCAGTAACAACTAAATTTCTAAAGGGAAGAAGCATAATAGGATAATTTTAATTTGTGGGTTGGCAGGACTGTCCTGCGTCCCTACATTTTTTAAACCTAGGAGAAAACGTTTTAAATCGGGACATGGACAATGGAAGTCTAAAAAAATGTTTTATCTTTGGTATATCCTCGAAAGTGCAGATTGATGAAAAAATTTGGCAGGCTTTAGTAGTGTAGTATGATGCCATTTATATTCTGCAGTGAGTCGATATGACGTGGATAAAAGTGACTTTTTGCATTTTGTAAATTCTGTTCGATGGCACTGTACCATTTTGATGAGGACTACGAGACTCAATGAGGACATTGACCGGGTTGTCCGGGGAGTATGCGACTTTCGGAATGTACTAAAATGCAGTTTCGCAATCGAATTTTTATCGATCAGAAAAAAGAACATTGAACTGGGAAGATTGCTGATTTTAATGAATTAGCGACGTTATTTGAACGATTGTAGAAATCGGGAAGGGTTAGTTTTAACTTACAATCTAATTTTCAAACCCTTTTATTACTTCGCGCACACTAAAGTGGCGAAAACACAACAACAATAGTTGCAGTGGAAACAACTACGAGAAAACGACAACAGATTGAAATTGTAATTGGAGATTGTCAGGAACCATTCCGAGTTGCAACGATTGTGCCGCTACAATCGTTACAACGTAGAACCCGAGAAAAGGTAAGGGTGTTGGGACGGCGTGTCCAGCCTTCCGGAAAAAAATTGGGGTGCTATTTCCCCGGATTCCAGAATCCGGAGGGGTCTCGGGTCGAGAATTCAAACTGTTATATATAATATTTTAGCTTCCTGGTCATGTCCTGAGTTGAATTTAATTAGCATCCAGATTCATTTTCAGAGAATGAGAAGCTAGGAGTGAGTGAAAGGGTTGATCTATCTTCGTTGGAGATTATGATTTTTATCTACTGAACATAAACAATAGTAATACAATAAATAGTAGTAGCCCTGTTTGGTGGTTGGGGATACTGAGACCCATTAGTGACCTCGTGGTTGTGGATATTGAGACCCAGCCATGAGCTCACTATTTTTGCATATAATTAAGTTAATTTGAGCGTTCTGGTCGAAGCCGGAAAGCAGTAACGTTTTGTCGACCCGATGTTAGGAAAACCACCAAAAGAACTGGCTTTGGCAGAGTCGGTGAAAACCATGTGGAGCTGGGTTTAGACGCTGGCCAGTTGATATGTACTTCCGGGCAAATGTTACAACCCCTCCGGATTCTGGAATCCGGGAAAATAACGTCCTTATTTCCTTCAGGATGACTGGACACGCCGTCCCAACACCCTTCCTTGTTCTCAGGATTCGCGTTGTAATGATTGTAGCGGCACAATCGTTACAACTCGGAATGGTCTTCGTAAAGCTTTCTCCAATCTCGATCAGTATCACACAATTTCCGTTTACTGCTTTTCTTCACGAATTCTCTTGTTGTTCTGCCTGTGACGAATGTTGTTGTGTGTTCGCCGTTTCAGTTGGTGCGAAATTTCGACGTTGTCACGTGTCTTTCTTTTTGAACGAATTTTTAGAAATTAATATGAAAGTCCAAATGAACCCTTCCGCGTTCGTTAAAATGAACGATTAAGATCATTAATTCGTTAAAACCGTTAATCTTCCCACTCCGATGTCACAATAAAATTTCGAATTCCGCTTTTGCAATTTCGTACACTCTGGTCAAATTTCACAAGGGCGTTCTATTTACATTCTAGAAGGGGTTAGTAGAAGTCTTTGAGCTATAAAAATCCGAAGGTTCCGTGTCTTAAGGGAACCGCGAATTGTCTTCGACCAGCGAGAGGTAGAAAAGCAGCGAGAGGTAGAAGAGATAGTGGCTCTGGCCCTTGAGCCAATAACTATATACCCTATACTTCTTGACCTCAAATGTGACGCAAGTGAACGAATGTTGCACGGCTATGAGCCAATGGCTGTAGAACCCATTCTCTTCGCCATCACGTTTGAACTTAAGTTGCAAATTAGAGAGAAGCCTTAGTATTTGCAAGGTGGTTAATATATTTTGTTATTTTAGATGTCTGCTGTAAATACAATCATGTGCTTCGGCGTGTGAACATCACTAACCACTTAGCCTACACAATGACGAATAACCATGGCGATTCCAGTTCTTCATACTTCAAGGACTGGGCGTCAAGTGGAGAGATATCGAAGCGGTTTCCGAATTGTAAAACAATTCTCTGGGACAAGCAGAGTATTGGCACGAATACCGAGTCGTCATTCTCTTTCTACAAAGACATATCACTCAATTTAATTGAGCGGTCTTTGCGGTTGGCTTACAAAGGAGCTTCAGTATACTTCAAAACCAACAAGAAGCCACTATACAGAGGCCTTTTTCTCGGTAGCTTGTCTTGTCTGGACTCGGACGATGAAATCAAAATCGTAGTCAACCGATTTGATCCAGGTATCTGTCATCTAGGAGAAGTTGACGGTTCTCACAACTGGCCGTTGCCTTCATCCAAACTACCAGATGATTTGGTAATTCCTGTGCTAATGGTTAACCGATCTGCCATGGATCAATCTTCATCTTCCACTAACGAGCTAGTCGCCAAGTCTGTAAAGGCCATAGAAGAATACATGGCAAGTTCTTCGAACAACTTGCGGCTGCAGGATCTTTTCAAGTGCTTCTGCGTATGTTACTATACCGATCAATTTGGCGAACTAACATTTGAAATGTCTTGGAACTTGATTGCACCCGGAGCTTCCTTCAATATGAAACCCGTGACACCGGTTCCAATAATTCCAACTGCTCTGGCTCGGAACTTGTCAGGTCCATTGAATCTAACTGCTCTACAGAACGGAGCAAAGTTTGGATTTCTGACTATGGATCAAACTCGAAAATTGCTATTGCTCTTAGAATCAGATCCCAAGGTAGCCAGTTTACCTGTTGTCGGAGTTTGGATTAGTGGTGTCATGTCTTCTTGTGATACAAATGTATGGGCGGCACTGGCTCGGTACCAAAAGTCCAATAGACTTGCAAACAAACAGTGCGACGGCTCTAATGGATTTCTAGCGATGTGTTATATGTCTACAGAAAAGAATCCGCTGTTCTTTGACTGCACAGAAATCGAGGCGCCTAATGCATATAAAGTGTTTCAATGTCAGGAAGAACTGAACTTGTTCAAAGAGTCAAACAGCAAAGCAGATTCGACATTCATCTATTTCCCGCTCAGCATGGTCGAAGTATCGCCCATGCATCAAATTGCGGACATCACCTTGAGGACAATTAGTTCTTCGACTCGTTTGATGGACTCAAATGCGCCCCTATTTGGACATCCTGAGATGTCTTCGATTGGACCATGCAGTCCCATCATCACCGATCCATCACCACCATGTCCTCAATCAGCACCAGTTCCCCACGCAGCTCATAGACATCGTTTCAGCATCAATGAAAGTGTACCTGAGGTGTCTGTATGGGAACCTCAACATGTGGCCAATCAAATGAACAAATCGGATAGTATGGAGCAAGATCAAGGCTTCTTTTCCAAAAGTTCATCTGATCACGACTCCTCTCTAGAACGCATGGTAGTTTATACAAAAAGACTTATTGCGAACCAACCATTAGAAACTATAGAATCGTCAGCCAATGTGACAGAGCGATCTTCCAGTCATACATCTGTCCAGAGGACTAATAGATCAATTGAAAATTTCGATCGAAATATGCAATTGCAAAATAATCACGAAGATCCTGGTTTGAATCATTCGCACAGAAGCGTAACAAATCATTCACAATGCGCTTCGTGCAAGTCAGACAAGCATGAGTTAAACACTAGTTTAGAACAGCAGAGAAAACAGTTAGAGCTACTGCAGAATCAAATTCAAACTTTACTCAAGGCACAGAATATCCCAATTCCAGAACATATCAATCGAACTGTAGTTACGAGGTCAGCTCAGACATCACCGGCCGAATCGACAAATGTGAGTAAGTTGTTACAGTCATCCTCCAATCAGTTTGATCTAACTGCGTCACAGAGAGTCGTATCTAGAGACGAAGAGACTTGGGCTTCGATCGACCCGAACTCGGTTCCTCTCCAGGAAGACAACTTGAGTCACGACAATTTGGTCATTTCACACGTTCAAATGCCAAGTTTCGTAGACAGTGAATGCGACAATACGACAGTTGAGTCGGAAATGGATGACGGCGATCGAAGTCAGAACTCAGATAGAAGTTGGGAAAACCGAACCGGAGTAAACACTGAAGTCCAAGAAGAGGAAATGCAAGTGGTGAATTGTTTGAATTCAGTCATGTTCGAAGAACAGCAAAATCCTATGAACAGTGATAGTAGAAATCAGTCACTGCTGATGAAACAGCAGCAAATTGAGAAACTAAATCAACAAATTGCCAATGCCTTGGTCATTAACAGTCCGGTGAAAGAATCATCGAACAATGAAAACAGAGAACCAAAGCCCAAAGAAAGACAACAAGTTGCTCCAAATAAAGGAAAACAGTCGAAGGAAGTCCGTGGGAAAAATTTGGAAGTTGATAGAAATCAGGAGTCTTTTATGAACCATCAAGCCAATCAGGAGCGATTTAATGTCGTGGATTTGTCTATGGCTGCGAACTCAATTGCCATGAAGTACCACCAGTCGGATCAAATGGCACACAACGGGATCCAAAATTGGAATGTGTCGAGTACTTCCTTCATGTACGAGTATTCTTATCTACCTCACTTAGCTGTCACGGAGTCCTACAGGTCTAGTGGATTCAGAGATCATAGCATGCTCCCGAATTCGGAACTCTTCGACGAACGAGGTACGAACTTGAGCTTCGCGACGGAGCAATATCTAGCCAAACATGGAATGCTTTCATATCAAACTCAAGCGTCATCATCGAAAATCGTCACGGAAAGTCGAAGAGTGTCAAATCCGAATCCCAAGAAATCATCCTTAGAAGCACAAAATGTTGCTTCGAATGAAATCCGAAAACAATCGGTTGGTAAATCGAGTAGATCGAAGGAACATCAGACTGCTTGTTATAATCCGGCTAGTTATGACAACGGACCCAAAGATTCGAGATGTTTGGAAAGCGAAGACGAAGATAGCGACTCTGAGTTCAACATTCTGGACATGGATAAACTCAGATCCCTTCCGAAGCTACTATAAATGAAATCATTCCACATCTTGATGATGTCTGTTAAATTGTAGAATCAGTGGCCAAATTTCAATTCTTTCACGCTTTATGTGTCTCAAAAATCAAGCACAATACAATTATCTAAACTATTGCCTTAACCTACTTAAAAGATGTGCCTTATAGTATCCTTACAATAATAAATACTGTTTTTCACAAATTGTAAATTTGTTTCATTCACTTGGTTCATTATGTGAATTTCTAAATTTCTTCTATCAACACATGTTTTGAGAAACATAAGTCAAGACAGAGATCAAAGTATTATCGTATTATCAGCAGTAACAGTGATTGTTAAAAGTGAACCTTGATATGTGAGTTGTTCAATCTCATGCGTTTTCAGATCTCGTCTTGTTTGAAAATGAAGGCCGGAAACCGACAAAAGAAATGCCGAAAGATGAGGGGACACGTCAGCCACGGACATGGCCGAGTCGGAAAGCACCGAAAGCATCCCGGTGGTCGAGGTATGGCCGGAGGTCAGCATCACCACCGAATCCTCATGGACAAATTCCACCCGGGATATTTTGGAAAAGTGGGTATGAGAAACTTCCATTTGAAGAAGAACCCTAGACATTGTCCGACTATCAACATCAGCCAGCTGTGGAATCTGGTTCCAGAAGAACACAAAAAGGCATGTGAAGGGAACAAGAAAGCGCCAGTGGTGAATGTACTGAACCACGGATTTTTCAAGGTCCTGGGCACTGGACTTCCGCCAACCAAGACCCCAATGATCGTGAAGGCGAGATTCTTCAGCAAAACGGCAGAGCAGAAGATCAAGAAGGCTGGCGGTGCTTGTATTGTTACTGCGTAATATGTTTGTACAGTTACAATGTGATGCTGAATTGAGTTTCGCTCGCTGAACGTTTTCAAAAACTAGATAGTTGGAGTTTGACCGAATCAGGAACGCGTTGGAGTAGAATGGTGGTTTTAGGAAGATGAGATACCTGGTTGCCATTTTTCAGTGTTTAAATTGCTTACAAGATTCAAATTGAATATGATTGGCATATGCCATTCTTAATTTGGAACGATCAGAGTTAATTCGATTAAGTGTGTGGATCTTTCAATGAGACGTCGCAGATAAACGTCCTGTCCTGCCCATAATTTAGTAAAATTGTCTCGAAAATGACTTGGAACTGTTTAATCTGCAAAATGGGTTATAAAATCTTGAATATTTGAAGGATTGATTCCAAGATAAGGAGTAGAATCTAATCAGTGCTACTACAAAATAGGGGATTTTGGAAGATAAAAAAATAGATAGCAATTAATTTCCTTAAGTTGACAACGAACTTTAGTTTTCTACGAAGTGATCAGGGAGGCACTTAGTGTTCCTGCGACTTTGAAAATACTGTTAACTGATCGCTTATGTCTATCTAAATTCAGCATATTTTAAGATGAAAATTCACGCAAATAGTCGTTTGAGTAATACCTGAATCATCTGCCTTAGTGCTTTGTTGGTTTCAGTTTGAAAATGACCTCCAATGATTCCTTATCAGTTCTGTGCAAATCTCTGGAACAGATCACTTCTCCCGTCTACGAACAGAGGAAAGCAGCCGAGGACTTCTTATTCTCGCACGAAGGAACCGAAGGCTACGCTACTCTTCTACTCAGTGCTATAAAGGAACCCAGTCTAACTGAGAATATTCAATTGCAGGCAGTCATCTGCTTCAAGAACTTCATCCGAAGGAACTGGAAGGTCGATGACGTCAGTGGTAATGCAGCCGATAAAATAAGTGAAAACGACCGAAATATGATCAAAGCCGAAGTGATCGGAGTGATGACGACTTGCAATGTGAAGATCCAGAAGCAGTTCGGAGAAGCAGTCGCTATCATCGGCAAGGAAGACTTTCCCCAGAAGTGGCAGAATTTGATGAGTGAAATGATTAGCAGATTAAACAGTGAAAATTTTGTAGTCGTCAACGGAATTCTTTTAACGGCTAATAGTTTGTTTAGAAGATACAGATTCGAAATGAAAAGCGAAGCTCTGTGGATTGAAATCAAACATGTTTTAGTGACGTTTGCAGTTCCTTTGACTGAATTTTTTGTCAAAGTATTTGATTCTAGTTCAACCATTACTGGACCTGAAGCTGCGAATGTGTATCAATGTTTGTACTTGATAGTTCAAATCTTCTATAGTTTGAGCTACCAAGATATCCCCGAGGAGTTTGAAGATAGACTGGATCTGTGGATGTCGAGGTTGTATCAGCTTCTGGAAGTACAGCTGCCAAATTTGACAGAGGCTTCTAGTGACGAACCAGGAGTTTCAGAGTTGCTGAAAAGTGAAATATGCGAAGTGGTCTCAATGTATGCTACAAAATACGACGAAGAGTTTGCATCTTTCCTACCAACTTTTGTGACAGCGACGTGGAAACTGTTAACTTCGACCGATTTGAGTCCGAAGTATGACATTCTAGTGACAAATGCTATGTACTTTCTAACCTGTGTGAGTGAGAAAGCCCAATATAAAGCTTTGTTTGAAGAAGAAAATGTTCTGAAAAGTATCTGTGAACAAGTCGTGATCACAAATATCCAGTTTAGAGAATCGGACGAGGAGTTATTTGAGATGAACCCAGAAGAGTATGTGCGTCGAGATATAGAAGGTTCGGATGTGGACACGAGACGCAGAGCTGCTTGCGATCTAGTCAAAGGTCTATGCAGGTTCTTTGAAGAACCAGTATCGAAACTGTTTGCTGAGTTTGTTAATGTAATGATAGATCAGTTTAACGCTAACCCAAAGGCTAACTGGAAAAGTAAAGATGCGGCTGTTTTCTTGGTTACCAACTTGGCGGCTAAATCGAAAACCGAAAAGGCAGGAACAACTCAAGTCAGAGAATTAGTGAATGTTTCTGACTTTTTCGTCAACGTCGTCTCGAAGGAACTTTTTGCTGTTAGTTCGCTTAAAGAGTTTCCAGTACTTCGTGCAGATGCTCTCAAGTATTTGGTAACTTTTAGAAACCATTTACAGAAGGAAGTTTTGGTCCAGTGTTTACCTGCTATTTCTGCGCACATGAAAGCAGAAAGCGCAGTTGTGCAAACTTATTCTGCGCTGTGCTTGGAAAAATTGTTGATTTTGAAAAGTAAAGAAGTCACTTCAGGTGTTTCAACATTGTTAACTGCTGCTGATTTGGAAGCTCATTTAGCTGACATAATTTCTGGTCTCTGTTTAATTTTGACAACTTCTGAAGAGGAAAATGAACACGCGATGAAGTGTCTGATGCGTCTGTGTTGTTTTCTCCAGCAGAAAATGCTCCCATATTTAGGCCAGATTTTTGAAGTGGTCTTAAAAAAACTGAAAGATATAATTGCGAACCCGAAAAAACCGCTCTTCATACACTTTTTATTCGAAACTATCGCAGTTTGTATCAAAGTGTATTGCGGTTCGTCTGCTGAAAATAAAGTATCGACTTTTGAAACTTCGCTTTTGCCTGACTTCGAGCAGATTTTAATGAAAGATATTTTGGAACTGTTGCCGTACATGTTTCAAATTTTGACACTTATGATGGAAATGAATAAAGGGATCTCTTTAACTATATCTATCCTTTTGCAAAAGGGGATATTCTTTACTAGGTTTAAAATTCTGGTATGCTTAACTGTTGATTTATTGTTCCGACTTTCGCTACGAAAGTAACGGAAAATTTCAAGACAAATTTCGACTTTTAAACTAGCCATTTTTGACGGAATTATTTTTTAGCATTCAAAAGGTATTGTTGTCCTGAGCTTAAATTTGAAAAGATATTTCACCTGTGATATTTTTTCGTAAAGTTATGGGAGTTTAAAGATTGCCATTTTGGGACAATTAACGCGCGATATATTTCGCGCTATTAACGCGTCAGCGGAGATTTAATCCGTCTTAGAAATCGTTCAAAATTGGTTGAAAGAAGTTTATTTGCCGTAATTGATTTGTTACAAGGAGCGAAAAATATTGTTTTGTACTTTAAAGGGCGTGTGGGGCGATGATTTTCGTAGAAAAAGTTTCAAATTTACCTTAAAGCCAGGTGGAACATTCAGGGCTTCGCCCTGATAGGAGCAGTCTTGTTTCTTTATAGGGGGATATTCGTTACTAGGTACCCCATGGGGGGATATAATTAAAGAGATCCGAATAAAGGCAACGCCCCCGATTTCTACATGAGTCTGTTCCCATTTTTGCTGAATGATCAGTTGTGGGAAAGACAAGGAAATATTCCTGCAGTTGTCGGACTTCTAAGGGCATATCTGAGGAACTGTGTTAAGTTTGTGGCCAATGCGGAAAACGTAAAAAATTTGCTCGGAATTTTTCAGAAACTGGTCAACTCAAAGTCCAACGATCAACATGGATTCAAACTTTTGAATTCGATGGTAGAAATGATACCTTTTGTCTTATTAGAATCATCTGTGCCGCAAATTTTACAGATGATTTTCACTAGATTAAGTCGCTTGAAGACAACTAAATTTGTCCAAAGTAGTTTGCAATTTTTTGGACTGTTTGCGGCAAAAGTCAGTGCCGAGCATTTGGTCAATTTCGTTGAAGCAATTCAACCAGGTCTTTTTGGAATGGTTGTCGACTCATTGATGCTCAAGGAATCTCAGAAGCTAACAGGAGCGGTTGAGAAGAAAGTTTATTCGATCGGCTTGATCAAAATTTTGGTTGATTGCACCCCTTTTTACACCAAATACGCGGATAAATGGACGCCTTTGTTGGAAGTTCTGATTGCGTTGTTTGAACTACCCGTAGATCAGCGGGAAGTGGACGGAGCCGGGGATCATTTTTTGGAACTGGATGACCCTGAAGGTGAGGGGGGATACCACAACGTCTATTCGAGGCTCATTTTCGGCGCAGACCACGCGGTGGATCCATTTGCGGGGCAAATTGCAGATCCGAGGAAATATCTAGCGGAAAGTTTAAAGAAATTTTCATTGCAGAATCCGCAAGTGGCAAATCAAGTGGCGAGTCTGCCCGCTGAAGCTCAGAAACATTTGCAGAGTTACTACGCTTTCGCGGGCGTCACGCCCTAAGGTTTTGAATGTTGCTCTCAATGTTATAGAAAACAACTAATCTTATTGTTTTTTCTCTTAGGTCCAAAACAAACATTTTCTGTTATGATTAATTGCACACTAGTGTTCATCTTTTTAGTGTGTATCATGCAAGATTAATTGATTCATGCAAACCCTGAGGCGTACAAAATGATTTGATACTAAGTTGAATGTTGTAAAAACTCGTGCTGTAACAGATGTTTCATGCTGATGCTGTTGTTATATAATTAAAGTATCTGAGGTGTAGAATATGAGCTGAAGAATATGTATTTGATTCTCTTGAAGTTGGTCAATTTTAATTTGATCTGCTATGGACTAATAAGACTGAGTTCGCAATAGCTTGACCAATGAATGATTCCTTTTTATGAAACTAGATGATGATGGTGCATATTATGACCTACAGACTGGTGCATGTTTTTTAAACTTTTTATACTTGAAACTCAATTCAAAGTTTTCTCAAATGTTATCAAGATATCCCAGAAATTAAGGATATATTGATTATTTTCTACCCTCTTTTAGGAGTTCTTTCTTTGCTGGTATTAATCCACTTCTATCCATCATGCATACTATGTATCGGAGTTGAAAAGGGGGCAATTCGTTTAAGGATCCAAAAAGAACGGGCCTGATCCAATAACTACTGTAGAATGGGGTTTTATTTTAGTTTTGTTTTTCAGATTCGCGATGACTACCGCAGCTAAGCGACCTACCGTAAGTACTTTCCCTAATTTGGATTTTTCTTAGTAAGTCTGAGGCCCATGAGAACAATCTCCCCCCTTAATATATCTCTCTTAATATATCCCTCTTAATAAATCTCTCTCTAAATATACCAAATGAACAATTTTCCCCCATAAAATGAAACCCGGAAGGCCTGTACGTACGTACTATGCCTAAATCTGATTGGCTGAAAATTATTTCGTTTAACCAAGTGATATCTCCCCCAGCCCCCCCCCCCCCCCCCCACCCAATTTATTTAAGGGGGGGGGTATTCACTTGGTCCAAGCTTGAATTGCATAGGGGGAGGGGGCGTGGGGGTTTCTTGCGGGCGGCTTTGATTGGCGAAACTACTTGCCATGGCGCTTGAGGAATTCGAAGCGGCTTCAACATACTTTGTGACGCCCTTTCTCTGTTTCTACTGTTTTTAACTATACATATCTTCAAAAAACGTTAGAAACCGCCGTTAATCATCATGATGATAATCAACCAGACAGCTCTGGCCTAAACTACCAGACAGCTCTGGTCTAAACTAATCATTCTTATTTTCTCTCAATATGATTTTTAACTAAGATAGACAGCTACAATTGAATAGCATTAGCTACTTATTAGAAGAAGGCAGCGGTACTTGCCAGTTTAAATTGATTATGAAAGTGCTATTTAAAATAAATACTGGTAGACATATAGTTTCACGATTAAAATTAAGTGTACTTAGAAAATGCAGAACTTTGAATGCTATTAATTTTAATGCGTTTTGATTATGATTGTAAGTAAATCGAATTAGACATTCATGAAGTTTCTGAATTAATCTAGCCCCTTTAAACGAGATCTGAGCAAAAAATGGATTTAATTAAAATTCCAGGACATAATTATTACGAAAATATTTCATTCCCACCTTCATTTTTTTGAAAGAAAATCTGTAGTCATGCGTGTTTGTTACGCAAAGCCTTGTGACATTAAGAAAAAATTTCTCGAAGAAATGTGCGCTCTCAGGGTTTTCATTATTCAAACTTGAATACGTAAATATTGTCATTTTTTAACGTTTAAATTTTTTTTTTAAGTATCAGTGTTTCTGGGCAAATCGATATCTCTGTAATATAGGTCGTATTAGTCGAGTGGTTTTTGTTTTCAAGAAAGGTCAACTTTGAACTCACCTCACGAGTTCTTTATGACTGTTCTTTGTGGAATTTTGCGTATTGTGAATTTTTCAATCCTTAATAGCATTAACCGTAGTGCACCTGCCAATTGGCTGTATTCTCAAATTGAGAGGATAGGTCTTTGTGATCGGAGCGTTATCTGCTAGACTCATCAGCTGCCTAGTTTTGTTTCAAAATTGTCGTAACAATTTTCATCATGTGTTGTGTAGGTGAACGTGTACGGCATGGACGGGAAGCCTACCCCGAACACAGTGGCTCTTCCGGATGTGTTCACAGCCCCCATCCGAACTGATGTGGTAGTGTCTGTTCACGCCCTGATTGGACTGAATGGACGCCAGCCATACGCTGTGAGTGAGAAGGCAGGACACCAGACCAGTGCAGAGTCCTGGGGAACAGGAAGGGCAGTGGCCAGAATTCCCAGAGTCAGGGGAGGAGGAACCCACCGATCTGGTACACAATCAGATTATTAAATAAATCAAATGTTTTTAATATTTTTAGGGGTACAGTAAGTGCAAAAAAGTTAGTTATAAATTCGAATTTATAGCAATTGAATATTTTCAAGATGACATTGATTAGTATCTTTGTAACTGGACCCATACTGTTTCGGACTTTGCAGGGTTGGCCTTCTGCCATGCCCCTTGACCTCAGTAATGTTTTACGGGATGCTACATTTTCGGCCGACTGGCACAAAAATTTTTCTAAAGGCGCTTGGCTTGTTAACTTAAAAAGGAACGCTCAAGCCAAGTGGGCACGCAATTTTTTGGTCAAAACCTTCCAAAAGTAACACAAAATGGAACACTTGGCCTGTGGCGCAGAACAGTTTTAGCAAAATAAGGGCTTTTAAGTATGTAGCGTAACAGTATTGAAAATCTTATTACGAATTAATGTTACTGTTTTAATTCATCATGTCATTCATTGTTGTTGTGCTGTGCTTGATTAGGTCAGGCGGCGTATGGCAACATGTGCAGGGGTGGTCGGATGTTTGCCCCCACCCACACGTGGAGGAAGTGGCACCACAGAGTGCCAGTGAAGCAGAGACAGTATGCACTGGCATCGGCCATAGCTGCCACCGCCATACCAGCTCTAGTAGAGGCCAGGGGACACGTGAGTGCATGTTACATTGCAGTTGAAACAATTACAAGGATATGTTTGTAATAATATCTAAGAATGGGAAAATAAATAACGATCGGCAATTTCTGTTAAATAGATATTGAAAATTAAGATGATGATGAAGAAAATTTGGCCGTTTATAGTTCATTCATATAAATCAATTAAAAATGCAACAAAATGCCGACAATTAAGTGGAAATTATGCCGACAATTTAAAAATTACGAAAGAGTTGAATGAGCTAGTGCATATAAATAGTCAACAACATGGTCTTTGTTGAAATTACTAGAAATGTTTTGGATTTTTGCATGAATATCCCGATATTTCTTCCGCCCTTGATTCTGCGTTCCCCCCATAGCCTTCAAAATGTTGAACTTCTGATTTGTTGAGTCCATTTGAATCTTATTCAGGAAAGTGTAGAGGCTTTGGTGGCTCCATTGAAATAATGCTGTCACTCCAAGGTGCCAACCTTCAACGGCGTTTGTCGTTCGTATCAAGCCTTCCGCTGCTTCTTGGGAATGGTTCCAGAGACTCATAGGGAATAACGGTTGCCTGCTGTTTCGCCCTATTGTTTCGCCTTTTCTCTGAAAGTATGAGGCAAGTTCGTCAATTTTATCTGACATGCTTTGCTCAAAATCTAATCGGTCCACCACATGCTCAATCTCCTCAATGAGGCTCTCGAACGACTGTTCAACTAAATCAGTTGGGACAAAACTGATAGCGGGTATTAAACGCAGTGCTAAGCTCAGCTCGCAGTTGTTTTCATATGCTTTCTTTAAACCCAGCCCGTTAACTTTGCGTAAAAAGGCCTGGCAGAGGTGAAAGTGACAGCCTTTGATCGAAGACTCCGGAAACGCACTGGTAAAAGCGTTTACGGCAGCTCGTTCAAAATCTAGAAGGATCCTCGATGGTTGCGCGTTATCAGAGACAGAGGCGATGGCTTTCAGGAATTTTGAATACGTCTGTTCAGTTTTGTTCGGCAGAAGAGCTTAAAGGCATGGTAGGTAAAGTCCACCGATTTGAATGTGTATGGTATAAAGCTGGTAAAATTGCATTGGGCGTCGCACAGCCAAAGAGAATTGTGAACTCGGAGGGCATGAACATTATCTCCGAAAATCAAAATTCGCTCAGGATCCATTAGTCCACTGTCGAATAAACAAAAATCAGAATATTCCGTCGGAATTATGAAATGCCTGTCTTTGATGATTGGCAAGGACGGGACCAAGTTCTGTTTCTGGCGGTTAAGAGTTCTGTTTATTGCTGCACGGCAGGGCAAGGATAATTGAACAGCTTTCTCATCTGTTACTTCTTGGAGACAAGTGGCAATTATACTAATATTAACAGGTACAATTTGCTGCCTGGCCTCTTTTTTCATTTGATGCATGATTTGCTTTGCCTAAATTTTCCCAGTTCTAACATCGTGGCTGTGCTCATTTTTTGTTGATACGAGTTCATCTCCTGCTGTGACTGCGAGCATGCGGCATTTGTGTGAACTGTATCTTGCGCATCTCCAGTGCTCAGTAGTTTTTGTCGTTTGCTTTTTTGTGAAATCGTGTCCGTCAATAATTAGCGTTTGTTTATTTCGTTGAGATATTCCCCATCCCCACGTAAGTTGTCTCATAGTATTTATGTTGGATGTGTAGAACAAAATGGTAAACAATGAAGCAAAATGAAAGAATAGTCGTGTTTCATTTTGTTTCAAAGACGCTAATTGTGGATTATTGTCAAATTTTGGCGTGTAATTACCAAAAATTATGGTTTTTTAGGCTCAGCTTCAATAATTTTCGATTAGAGTCTTTTGTTATCTCAAAAAGAGTCCAGTGTACATTAGCACTTGCTGGTCCTCAATTTGAACATCAAAGAATCAATTAAAAGTGTTAAGTATGGGACAAAACGGCATAGGACAAAATGTCATGTGGGGCAAGTTGGCATAGGACAAGTTGCCATGTAGGGCAAGTTAGTAAAGGACAAGTTGACATAGGGCCAATTGACTTGGGGCAAATAGTCCTGACACCCTATTTCTGGGTTGGAAAATTTCAAGACAATCTTTTTTTTTCGTGGGCGAAAGTTTTTATTTGCAGCTTGATAATTCTTGATGGAAAAATAAGAATAAGGTTTTGATTTTCAATTCTTTTATCTATGATTGACTTGTTTTGATTGAACATAATTTTTTTATAGTGTCTTGTGTTGTGTTAGGCAATTGGGAAGATGCCGGAGGTGCCGATGGTGGTGTCGAATGAGATCGAGGGACTGACGAAGACTAAGGAGGCAGTGGCTCTGCTGAAGAAGGTGCAGGCCTACGAGGATGTGGAGAAGAGCATTGCCAGCAAGAGGATGAGAGGCACTAAGGGCAAGATGAGGAACAGACGCTGGAGGATGAAGAGGGGACCCCTGGTCATCTACAAGAACGACAACGGAATCACCCGCGCATTCAGGTAGACAGTAACACCCAAACAAACCACATGCACTCACACAGATAGGCACAAACACACAAGTCGAATTTTAAAGTAGAAAAATGTGTTAAGTACAGTAAATTACAAAATTTGAGTTGATCAGTACATTAGAAGTTTAAAAGGGAATTTAAATAAAAAATGTAAATGCTTTTTTAAATGTTTATCACTGAAAGCACATACATCACTAACGGAATCAGCTTTGGCTTTTTTATTGAGTGAAAAATAAATGGTCACCGAGAGTAGACTTCAGAAATATTGACGTAATTGTTTTGAATAATGCTGCAAAATGTTTAAATTTTAAATCTAATTGTTTTCCTGTTGCCCACTTTTATGGTTATCCGCTGAGTTGATATTTTTTCTCAAAGATACAGGATCTGTTGTCTTCTGTCTATTGTCGAAATTCAGAAATGAACATAGCATGTAGACTTCATCAATTAAGTCATCAGTGGCGAGGTGTTTTAACGGATAAACCATGCATTGATAGAACTAATATTGTCCTTCTTGCCGTTTTCTATCGCCATAATCCATGTATAATACATGTATGATTTGATTTTTTGCTTGTAGAAACATCCCTAGTGTGAGTCTGATGTCGACTGACCATCTCAATCTGCTCAAGTTGGCGCCCGGTGGTCACGTGGGCAGACTGGTCGTCTGGAGTCAGGACGCATTCGAGGACATGAGCAAGTTCTTCGGGGACTACCAGAGTGGACAGACCAAACTCCCTCTCTCAATCATGCAGGTAATACAACACAGTCATGGACGCAATGTATGTCCAGCTCATCGTTAAGGAATAACATATTTTTTTAATGATTTTGTTATCCAATACATTCAATTTTTGAAATGAATTGAAACAAATCAAGCTGCGTTTCCAGTTGAGTTGCGAGAGCAAGTTTGTTAAATTTAAGCGTCCAAATCCTGAATAATTTTGATCGGCAACGATCTCGAGTTGCTAAAACTTGAAGCCGCATTCAATGCTAGGCCACTTCTATTCAATTATTATGTATAACATCTAACGCCATTTTCGAGACTCAGCTGTGAAAATAGAACAGCTCAAATTAAGTGGGAAGCTGAATAATGCTCTCTTCGTTTCAGACGTCTGACATCCGTGCGATCATCAAGAACATCTCACTGAAAGGGGGAATCCGACAGCCCAAGTTCGGACACAAGGCCAAGGTGGCCAAACAAAACCCACTCAAGCACAAGAAGGTCATGCTGAAATTGAACCCGGCCTTCCAGAAACTCACCAAGAGGAGGATGTCCAGAAAGAACAACTCCAAAGCCACCCTCAAGGAAGGAACCCCCGCTCACGCAGAGTACGAAGCCTTCAAGAAGCGAAAGGCAGCTGCTAAAGCGGCCGCCGCCAAGGCTTAATCGAATGAATCAAGAGAAAGAGAGGAGATCAGTGCAAAACTGAACAGTCCAAATCTGACTCTTCATGAGGACAATTGCATCTTTGATTTCTGTAATATGAATGTCAAATGAAGTCAAGGTTCTCTAGCATTTCGTTTTTTTCCGCCTAAGTTAAAATTTTGTGGTTAATGTGATTCAATCTGAGCAAAAAAAAACTACATCAAACTTTTCGGCCATAAAAAACGAAAAGAAAATTTCGAAGTGAAAAAAAAGACGAACTGAAGTCAGAGAATAGAGAACGAAGTAGGCCAGCAAAGTGAATATAGAAGTGCTGAATTGCGTGATCATTCTGCGAACCCGTAGGTTGATTAAGTGCAATGGACGTAGTAAAGACACTTATCGAGCCCGTGTTGGTTTTTTTGTCCGTTTTTGCCCGTGGTGTTTTTTTCTGTCCTAAGTCGTAAATAAAAGTGCTATTATTGGTGGCATTTTTGAATCAGTAGGCAGTACAGAAATTTGCTCGATTTTTTATTAGTAACAAGTTAAAACAGATGATGCTTTCAAATTTATACCAATTGAACCGGAAAAATCTATTTGTTCGAACATTGTGAACGAAAATTGGCTCTTTTTCCATTGCCCCTAACTTGCAAACTTTTCAGGAGTAATGAACGTAGTAAAGGCTCTTATATAGGTCTTGCTGATTTTTTTTTCGGGAATATTGATGCACTAAGGTATATATGCACTTTTTGAGTTCAATTGAAATTCATCTGCTGAAAGTGACGTAAATAGCACTCTCCAAATACAAACGTGCAAATGGCGCAAAAATTCCTGAACGATATCTAGTTTCGAAAGAGGAATTTATTTTTTAGGTTTCCAGCGGAATAAAAATTTTACCTGTTGATCCAGTTTTCTCAATTTAATTTTATCAATGACGCATCGATCATGAATTTTTATTGAAAATCAATGAGCTGTGAAGTCATATAATTTTACTTTGAATTTTCAGTTTTTCTTATATCTCTTAACCAACATACTCTTATCCAACTGTCTGTTGGCTATGTTTTTTATTCAATTTTTTTCGGCTTTGGATTTTTACGCATCTGTTTTTATCAACTATTAAGAGTATTTTTTGCCGGCTGATTAAGTGTCAATGAACAAGTAATGCTTTTTTTTCTAAAAAGTCAAATTTAGTTAGAACTCAAATATTTTTTTTCATGGTTTGACAGGATTTTTTTTTTCAGTTCAGTTCAGTTTATGTCCTCTGTTAATTGGAAGGCGAACTGAACTATCGAACATTTACAAGGTAAAGGGCACAAAATGAGTGAAAGGATTTAAATACGATTTCCTAGCGGAAAAGAACAATTACTTATTGATCCAACTTTCTCCGATTGGGTTAACGGCTTATGTTAGCGGCCCTTTTCTATGTATTTTTTTTCAAAAAAAAGTATGAGCTGTTTTCATTTTAATTCATTTTTTACCTTTGAGATTGGCGAGGTTATTGCCAGTCGGTAATAAATTTTCCTGCGAACAAGTTTGTTCACTGAGCTCATGGGTTGACTCTGGGCATCAAGTTCTGTTTTTTAATTTTTGAGCTTGGCACAGCAGAAGATGGATAAACATGCGTTTTCTCCAAATACGAACGTGGAAATGACGCCAAAAATGTGAACGCTTTCTAGTTTCGAAAGTGGAATTTATTTTTCAGACATCCGTCGGATTAAAAACTTTATCTGTTGATCCAGTTTTCTCAAGTTGGGTTAATGTTATCAAAAAAGCGCCAATTATTAATCGTTCTAGAAATTGAAAGAGCTTAAAGGGCATCTATTTTTTTCTTTGAATTTCGCAAATTGAGATTTTTTCAACAAAGTCAGTGTTTTTTTTTATGTTTACTTGCGTTCATCACTTTTCCAATCTTCGATTGGCTATGTTACAAGTAATTTTCCTGTTCAAGTTGTCCGATTGTTACGAAAATGGGAAGGAAAACGAGCCCAAAAATTTAACCAGCAAATGAGGGGTGGGGGGGGGGAGAGGAGAAAAAAGACGGCCTGAAAGTAGGTAAAATTATTCTACAAATAGAAAAAAGTTCGGGCTCTTTTTCCTTCCCCCCCCCCGAATTGCAATTTTTTTACTAGCAAAGTTACTGTTCACATTGTCCGATCGTTATGAAAATTGATATGCGGACTAATTAAGCTGTGCCAAACATATTTGTTGTTCATAAAAGCGCCAAAGTTCGTTCATGTGATTCGGACTCTTTTCTACTCCCCCTTGCCTTTCAAATTTTCTCTTTTTATAGTTGGTTTTTGGGAGATTATGGCTAAACGCTTGATTTCAGTAGTGGGCCAAGAGGGTGGGGGGCGAGGGATTTGGAAGTAAAAGGTGCTAAAATTAGAACATAACTATTTCAAAACAAGACAAAAACACCAGAAAAATTTAATAGAAAAATATCATGTGAACAAACCAATTAAGCAAACAAATGAATAAACAATGGGGTTATATTTCCTTTTCTTCGCACCTGAGAAATTATTGTTTTAGTTTTTGTTCATGTCTGATTGTTACAAAATGGGCATGCGTACGAATTAGGCCGTGACAAACAAGTATGGTGTTCATAATTAACCTTGTAAAACTAATCTTTACACCATACAATTGATGCTGGCTCTTTTTCCTTCCCCCCACCTGTAAATTTTATTGTTTTGATTCGATTGTTTTGAAAATTGGCATACGAAATAATAAGGCTATGGCAAACATATTTGGTCTTCATAATTTACCTTGTAAAATCAACCTTTTTCTATCAACACTCTATCTAGGTTTTCATATGACTATGGACCATAAAAAAGCAGACGCAATTGGCTCTTGTTCCTCCCCCCCCCCCCCCCCACCTCACTCAAACATGAACTTAATGGTCTAACGAGTGGTTTTACAAGGTTAATTATGATGACCAAATATGCTTGTTATGGCCTAATTAGTCTGCATGCCAATTTTCACGACAATCGGACAAAGTGAACGGAAACTTCAAATATCAAAAGGTGGGGGGGGGGGGGGGGGGAGGAAAAAGAGCCCAAAGTTGTTATTCACAGCCAAAAGTTGTTATCCAAACAGGTGAAATTTTTTTGAAACCCGCTCAAACTTTCCAAGAATTCTTTCATGATGTAAGCAGCATAATGCAAACACTAGATTGCTGGAGGGAAATTACCGCATCACGTGCTAAGTTATTGCCTGAAAAAATCATTCCAAACAAAACAAAGTTCTAACCATGTCAAAAAAATCACTGTGATCAAAATAATTTAAAAAGACAACTAAGATCCTTAATATCTAACAAAAAGAATGGCCGATCAACAAGCAAATTGTTAGTTTTTCTGTCTTGAATAATTTTTGTTTGCTTGTGATACAAATCTAGGGTTGCCAATTCAGGTGGGAGATATTAAAACATGGATTTTGAAAGTTTCACATCAGTTTTCTCAGCTCTGTGAAACATCGGCTCTTTTCCAGTTCCCCCCCTTTCAAATTCAATTTTGAAAAGTCTATTTAACGTTGTCATAATGCAATGAAATTTGGCGTGGTGAACAAATCGACAATTCTGAACAAATTTGTTCTTCATACATTACAGCGTAACATCACGCATTTAGCCGTAATAACTCGTAAAACAAACAAAAAACTCGGTATTTTGAAAGGGGGGGGGGACTGGAAAAGAGCCGAAACATCAAAACATGATATTTCGAGACAAACTTTTACTTTAGTGTTTCTAGGGGTGGTAAATTGGAACATACACAGCTTGGCGTGATGCAATTGAAGCGATAAATAACCATCTGTTTTTCTGTGGGATGTGGATTAATGGGAAAAAAGCTCTAAATCTGGCTGTTCAAAATGTTAGAACAGTCACCAGCGGATTTACGGGGGAATAGGGATTGGAGTCACCCCCTGAGCATTTCAGTCACCCCTACGAGAAAATCCTAAATCCGCCCCTGAGAGCAGTAATTAGTATTTTGATTGGGCCTTGTTGATTGAAGAGAGATTCGGGCTCTTCGACTTTTTTTCTGAATTTGAATTACAAAAACTTTTTCCCTTATACCAATTTCCCGTATACCAATTTTCAAAACAATCGAACAATGTGAACTGAAATTTTATCTAAGAAATCCAAGTGTGGAGGGGGGAGAAAAAAGAGGCAAAACTGGCTCTTTTAAACCCCCCTTCCCCTTCCTCACTTTGAATTTTCTCATTTGAAAAACTATTTTAACATTGTGATAAGGCAAAGTAAATTAGTATGGTCAACAAAATACTAATTGCGAATATATTTCTTCTTTTTAACCTATGTAAAACAAGAATAAAAAAGCAAGTTTGCAAGGTGGGGAGGGGATTGGAAAAAAACCCAAAAACCTGCTTCAAATTATTTCTGTCCCATATTTGTTCTTCATATTTTACATCGATACATCACGTGTTCAGCACATGAAACAACTATAAAAAAACTGAAAGGGGTGGAAAAGAGCCCTTGGGATCTCCTGGGCTCTTTTACACGCCTCCACAGGTTTTTTTTACTTCTGAAAAAAAATTTACGCTGCCATACTGTAAGGAACACATTGTAGCATCATGCATTTAGCCATGATTACAAAGAAATAGGAAAAATTAAAATATAGGGAGATGTTGAAAAGAAAAAAAAGTCTGCTCAGGCGGTCCGAAACTTTGTCATATTGTTTACGCTGATATGAATATTGTCACTCTGACATTAAATAAACACCATATTGCAAGCACCGTTCGGCCCGATAAACAGCGAACATGATTATATTCAGCTGGATTTTTTTATATGGTTTCCTGCAACCAATTGCTTTCACTCGACTGGGAGTGACTCTAACTGAGAAATCTGAAGAATGTTTTGTAACAAATTCGGATGGGTCGTTTATGGACTTATCCGACGCGACGTTCTGAAATGGCGATATATTGGATAGAGTCTCAACAAAAATGCGACCACGCGCTTTATTTTGAAGAATGAGCTGTACTCTTCCCAAAAAGGACAGAATCAATCAAAACTGCAGTGCACAGAAATAAAGAAGAGACATCTAAGCCCTCATTCAGATCGTTGACCGGAACATTAAGGCGGATCTCTCAATGTCCTCCTTATTTGTTTTGGACATGAAACCGCTGGTCAACTGATGTCGACACCAGAT